TCTTCACCATCACATCTCACAATGAACATAGACACATCTTGGCTATACTCCAACGTAGCATTCGTTGGCAACGACTCGGTCCTATTAGCTTCGTTATCGTAAGAAAGAAAATTTGTAGAATATCCTTGAGAGACTATGTTATCTGTGTCTAGGTAAATCTCTGGATTCTCCTGAAGCGAAAATTCGTTAAACAACATGAGCAGGTTATTGTTCAATCTTAAGAACCAAGCACTCATAACTCATGAGTGTATTTTTATAGGGAATTCAAAGACATTAATAGATGTTTTGTTTTGCTTATAGTGCGGGCTGGCTAATTTTGAGGGGTGACCCTTAAAGGCAAGATTTCTCTTGTACTACCATTAATTTTTTTTTGTTTTTCGTTTTTTACAAGTCATGCCGCGGAGGAACGAAAATACACGTGATTCACAGTTGAGTGACATAATTTAATCACAGACAAAGTTTATTCCGTGAGATATTATTAAATCACTGTATTTTTACATCACCAATTGGTATATCACATATTGATTTTTACCAAATATGGTATCGAGCCATTGCTATCCCCTTTCCCCTTTTTGTTATGAAGGAGTGTGAGCTCGGGCTCAGTGTTAGACATATTAATATAATATATACATTATCATCAAGGTTGGTTGATGTTCTCGCCAGTTTATCGAGCCAATCGAATTTGGAAATTACAAATCCAAATATCGAACATTTGAGTAGAGTATAACGCGGAAACAAAACTAAGTGGTTTACATGTTTTAATTAGTCAAATCTTCCCCAAGCTACAGTGTAGCTTGAAAAGAATTTATTGCTTCAGCTTTTTTGTTTTCACATTCTTGTCACTTGTCGTAGCGACGAAATTTAGTGACGTATTCTTCCTAGATTTCTGCGCAGCTCCGATGGTAACGCAAACCGGTTTAAAAATCAGTTTTGAGCAAGAGATAATGAAGGAACAAGGTAAATATCCAGTTATTTATCTTGATTTAAAAAAGACAGGAGAATTCAGTTATGAAAGGATTGAAAATGAAATAATTGGGAGAATTCAGGACACTTATACAAAACATGCTTATCTTGCTAACAGTAATAAGTTAACATCATATGAAAAGAAACTTTTTCTCGATCATTTGCAAGGAAAAATCGAAGAGAGGATTTCGATCAGCAGTGGCACAGCTTTGATCCTCGTACGAAGTGTAAGATTCTCAACATCCACAACAAGCCGATTACTTAGTAAGAAATCTTACAGCTGGAAGCACGAAAAACGACTACTTAGTAAGAAATCTAACAAACC